GTGTTGGGGTCAGTCGGCGTGAGTCCCCCCTGCCCCGGGGAGTGGTGGGGCTGGGCAGTGCTGCTGTCCCCGGCTGCGTGGGACCCCACGGGCTCATCCCTACAGCATGGGGAAGTCCATACTTAACGGGCTGCAGCATCTGGGATGGCAATGCCTGTTGGAAATGCTGGTCCTATAGAGGACAAGGGTAGCTTCCCCTAGCTAGAGTTCTGTCAGGCTCCCACAGCATCCTCCCTTGTCCCAAAAGTTATGTCCCCATGTGTTGAAAGCAACACCTCTATCGGGAAACGCTCTGAGACCCCCACAGATCTCAGGACATTGCTCTGCACTGAAGAGATCTGCGAGTTCAGGTCTAGAAATGCTCTGTTGATTGTTATTATTATCATTATTAATATCATTGTTATTATTATTTGACGTGCTCGTGCTGCCATAGTGCCCCACCATCAGTCTCAGGAGTTGTTTGTGTAGTTGAATGTGCTGGTGTCGGGGGGTTGTGATCACTGGAGGGTGGCAGGGGCAGGAGGGAAGGCAGAAAGGCCCCGTGGTGCTGGTGTGCCCTTTGCAGAGGCAGCTGTGAGAGCCCATCCACCCGGGGCCACACAGCTGAAGCAGAACCCACTGCTGGGATGTGCAGGGGGAGCAGGCACAGAGCTCACACAGCCCCACAGCCAGCAGATATCTTTATTTACAGCACTTGAAAGCTTAGCCACTTCTCCACATCATGGAAAAAAAAATCCCACTCTTCTTTATGTCATAAGATCAGACATTTCTGGGCTGGTTTGTGACTCTGAGAGCTCAGAAGAATGGGCACAGCACAGGGAGAAACAGCAGCCATGAGGCCCCAGAGTGTTGAGAGCCACACGTTTACCGGAATATGGAAATTTGTCATTTGCCCACAGACGCCTCCCTTCCTACACTTGCTACCGGAATATGGAAATTTGTCATTTGCCTACAGACGCCTCCCTTCCTGCACTTGCCTACTCTCAAGGTTTTCTGCTCAGCCCTGTGGTGCTGCTCACTGAGATTCATGTCCCAAAACCCACCCCTGCCTCTGTGACTAAGTTGCAAGTTAATTCTGAAACCAGCACCGAAAATCCCCTTTATGGCTAAAATGAGTAAGGGTAGGCATGGGGCCACTCTTGCCCATGTTCTCCTGTCCAGGGTACCAAAAGGCAGAGGGTGAGACCTTCATCTCTTGCTGCTGATGGGTGGACTTGCAGAGCTGGTCCCTTGGGGTTGCTTGGAGTTGGGGGAGCCCTTGAACCCTAGGGGTGAGCCTGGCCAGAACCTGGGTGCAGGTCACAGGGTTGGAGGCTGGGGACTGTGGAGGTTTTTGGGGCCAGTCCCAGGTTGGAGGTGACCTTGGGGAGCTGGTGCTGGGCTGGGTCTGGTGGGCGGATGGCATACCAGGAACCACTGTGTGCCCCAGGGGAGGCAGCTTGGCAGCCTCCTCACCAATCTGCAGGCAGCAGAGTGATAAGGAGGCACGAGCACACGTGCCATGGCCAGAACCCAGCCCTGAGCTGCAGGCACTGTCCCCAGAGGTCCCTTCTCCAGCTCCATCCACCCGTGCTTGGCCACTTGTGGTCACTGCTTGCCCTTTGGTCATGCTCCTGGTGTGAGAGAGGCCAAGTGGAGTTCACAAAAGATCAAGGCTGAGGCTTGGCTGCTTCTCAGGGCTGTGGTGAATTTATTTTGAAGATACAGAACTATATGTAGCTGCAGGAGCCAGGGAAGGGTCAGGATGCAAAACTCAGGGCTGTCAACAGTGAGAAGGGTTTGCATACGGTTTGCAGCACAGATCTGACTGTACGAGAGGTGATAGTCATCTCATAACACAACTGTCATCGGAAGAAAAACAGCAGCAGAGTCGAAGACAAGTCCCACGGACCTGTGCCAGCATTACTCTGGTAGAGCTGAGGATCTGCTGCAGGTCCTGGGCAGTTGGGTCATGGGCTAAATCCTGGCCTCTGTCTCCACAGCCACAAAGCAAAATCTCCTCCCCAGGAGCGGAGTCAGGATTTAAATACTCATTTCCTGCCTCTTTGTGATTTCCTTTGCTAGGTTGCCTGGTTGAATTGCTTAATGTACTTGTAAAACAGGAAAAGAGGAAGAAAACCAGATCTGCTGCAGGTCCTGGGCAGTTGGGTCATGGGCTAAATCCTGGCCTCTGTCTCCACAGCCACAAAGCAAAATCTCCTCCCCAGGAGCGGAGTCAGGATTTAAATACTCATTTCCTGCCTCTTTGTGATTTCCTTTGCTAGGTTGCCTGGTTGAATTGCTTAATGTACTTGTAAAACAGGAAAAGAGGAAGAAAACCATGAAAGAGAAAGAAACCCAGAGTATGAAACCCCCCCTCACACTAAGCTGAAGCGGAGGCTGCAGCCGCCCCAGCTGCCTGAGCTGCCTCTGCACCGGTGCTCCCCACCCCTGGCATCCTTCGAGATGCCTCAGGTCCTGCTGGAAATCCCAATTAATCCATCCATAAACAGTTTTGCTCTAGACCATGAGAAATATTTAGTTCTAAGAATGTATATACTTTTGGTTTTTTCATAGCTGGAAGGTATTTTTTGGCAGAGGTTTCCATGCTGAGAACTTACAGGATAAGCCACGCTGCAGATGGCCCCCACCTGCAGGATGTTTCAGGCTGCTTTTTCCCCTGGCCAAAGCTGTTCCAGCTGGAGCAACTCCCAACCCGTTACTTTCACACACAGTGGATACCAGGATTGTTTTCCAGCTCTCCAAAATGTGCCAGGCAATACCAGAGATGCAGGTACCACATGCTGCTCTGGAAGGGGCAGTGGAAGGTGCCTCTGTCACTACTTTAGCCACATTTTGCTTTTCACCCTGGCTTTGGCAATGGAGGTCTTACCCCAAAGGACAGTTGAGTGCATAGGAGTAAAATTATCTCCAGACGCTATTTTAATTGCTCCTAGAGGCAGGAAGGTGCCTCACTTGTAGCCTCGGGGCAAGTATTTGGATTTGTTCTGATGCTGGTGAACTTCTTGCTTGCTTCTGCCATTTCTGCTGTTCAGTGCAGTTGTCTCAAATCATCTTTCTTGAGAGGCCAAGGGGGTCTGATGACCCATCCTGCTGGGTTTGAGGCATGAGGGAGAGGTGAAGGTGCCCTGGATCCATGCTGGGGACATTGCCTGTGTTATGGAGGTCACCAGACCTGGACATCACCTTAGCCAGCAAGCAGAACACGTGCAGCAGAGGTGGTTTGGTTTGGGGGTCACTCCTGGAGGTGGTAACAGCATCCTTCTCCCAGAAAGGCTGAGATCACCCAAACCCCTTGGGGTCTGTGTGACCCCCTGTGTCAGGATGGTTGTCCCCCACCCCCAGCCTTTGCTTTGTTGCAGTAAAACTGGGGTGGAGGGAGGAGCTTTTGGGGTTCTTGTGATGCCCTCAGGCTTGCACAACCCCAACTATCTCATCCACCACTCCCTCTCATCCCCCAACTCCAAAACCCATCACAGGACATGAGTACATTACATACTGGGGAGATGCACAGCAGTGTGAGGTGTCTGCAGGGGACAGGCTGGGGTCCCTGGG